TTCTCTTCCTATCAAAATCAAACCTATACGCCTACTGGCCTAGAGGCCTTACCAAGAACACCTACTCTTTCAAATAGTTAACGTTAGTATTAACGTGATTTAGTTAGCATCAACATATCAACATAATTTTGTAGCAAGGATGTTAGAGTAATTTCTAATCAACATTTAATGGTACTGGTATATCTCCCATGTAACAACACTAACCCTATTACATATTTTAACTGATAAAGTAGCTTAATTCAGATTAGTTCAATGTCCTGACTCAAAGGTAATAGATTCACCGATTCATACAAACGGTTTCACACTTTAAATGAAAACCTAAAACCAACCTGAGTTTCTGAGGAATTTGCATTGGATTTGTCACTGTTGTTTATCATGTGTCCAGGGAACACGTAGATGTGATTCTTCCCCAACAGAGACGAGTTGAATATGAAGAGAGGTTCGATCCAACGAGATTCAAAGAACGTTGTATACGTGTACTGCAGTACTATCAGCACCACGACCACCAAAGCTAACGCCTTTACCGCTCTAGGAGAAGCTAAACTCATCTTGCAGATCCTGCAAACGTTTGACTTGAAAGTAACTCATTTAATATAGGAGAATAGCCATAATGCTACAATTTTTATTTGTAAGGCAATTAGTCGTTTTATTAGGCAATATTCTTTTATTGCTTGGTTTTATTTTACTGCTTCATTCATACTTTGCTTGAATAAAATACCTACCTTTGAATGGTCGTCATTTCAATTAGGAAAAAATGTACAGTCGAACCTTGTTTGTAGTACGAACCTCAATAAAACAAATTCCTCGATAAGACAAATTTTTTTTAATCCCCTTGAAACTTTCATATAGGTCAATGCTAAAAACACCTCTATACTACGTAGTAATTAAGTTAAAAACCTCCATAAGACGAATTTGTTTGTGACATGGGCTAGGACTGATTAACCTCTATACAACGAATATTCTTAGCACAAAACCTCTAAAAGACGAACGTGACCTCTATAAGACAAATTTCTCATAATCTTAACCTCTATAGTATGTAGTTTTCAAAACAAACAGAAGCTTGTCTCAACATGAAACCCCCACCCATCCCTCCTCCTTTCTCAGTCATTGTTTGGAGAAACCTTAGAGCAAGGAGAAACCTCTATAAGAATAACAGCAGCATTAAACCTTGATAAAACGACCCTCTTTATTAAGACTACCTCTATAGTACGAATTTTTGCCGTACCCCTTGAAATTTGTCTTATAGAGGTTCAACTGTATTTAGAAATATAAGGCAGCTTGCAGAATCGGTGACGATAAAGTTCAGAAAATGATTGTTGGTTATTTAAAGAAATTGATTTATGGGTAGGCCTATACAATAAGCTTAGTAGATTTTATAAAGATAATTTAGACGGCAGTTATTAAAATAACCTAAAAAATTACTGTTGTTTTCAATCTCTTTTAACCAAAATAGCCTTTAAATTCCAATCATGAACTAACAAAAAAAGAGATTTTCTGCCCTCCCCATTTCTGTTGATCAGGGGATTAAGTTATTGTATTTGGGTCCTACCATATAAACTTGTAACTAGGCCTATGTCAAAACTTACCATCTCCTTATTGCAGTAACTCAGAAACTGAATATTTATTTTCCATGATATCGCCTAGAGTGCTGACATTTACCTGAAATAAAGCGAGTAAGTGAACTAATTAGAAAAATAACAAGGCCTTGGATGGGGAATAATATTTTAACATAGGTGTAAGTTAATCAGTAAAAAGTTAACGTCTCCATCATATTTACCAAGAGTTCAAACTGGTCTTGGCCACTGTGCTGATTCCTCCCCTCCCCACACACTTATCAGTATCGCTGTTAGCTTAGCGTTGTCCTGTGCACAAATGCCTTGTTTTGCTCCGTTGTATCTGATAGATACAGTGCGACTGTCCTGGTTTTATTTTGTGATGTATCTACCGAAAAGTTATCTCAAAATAAAAACGGGACCGGTCTCGTTTTTATGTGATCTATGTTATGTTTGTGTCATTACAAGGAGCCTCCTCTCAAATCAAAGACCTTCACCATGGTGTGCCCCAAGGATCTGTGCTAGGACCCATCCTGTTTGTCATCATGATTAATGACCTATCTTTCAACAGACGCACACTTCTTTTTGCAGACGACACTACGTTGTTAACGAGGCACAGTGACCTTACCGATCTGAAGGCTGAGGCATCCTACTTGCTTGAGGAAACCAAGGAGTGGTTTGCAAGAAACCGGCTAAAACTCAATGATGAGAAAACCCAAGCCATCACCTGCACTCTGAAGAAAGGTAATGACGATGAGGCAGTCAAACTTCTTGGCTTTTGGATTGACTCAAAGATCAATTGGAGTCAGCATATTGAGAAGGTATGCGTTAGATTGAGCAGAATTCTATTCCTTGTACGAAAACTAAAGTACCAGATCACTCGTCCCTATCTGCTAATGGTCTACCACTCTCTCTTCCATAGCCACATAAACTATGGACTGGCTGTGTGGGGACATAGCCCCGCTACCCAAAGTCTGCTGCTACTTCAAAAGAAGGCCGTACGTATAATAACATCGTCAAGTTCAACTGACCATTGTCGGCCTATTTTCAAGGAGCTTGGCATCCTGACCATTCACAGCCAATACGTGCTTAACATCCTAGCCCTCCTGAAAGAAAATGAACCATCCTTCATAACTAGAAGCGTACAGCATGATTATGGGACGCGCAGAGCATGTGATCTTGACCTGCCCCGCTGCCGACTCAGTCACACTCTTAACTCCTACCCATCACTTGCTATTCGGCTTTTCAATACACTGCCGATAGGAGTTCGTGCTCTTGACAAAAAGAGATTCAAGTTGACGCTACGCCAGAGTTTGCTTAGTAGACCGCTTTACTCCTGGCAAGAAATCTTTGACGAGCCTCTGGTTTTTGTAAATAATACCGCCATACCCGCCATTGTTGCTTAGTTGTATATATATGTTTTGTGTTTAAATGTTTTTAATGTAAATAAGACGCAATCTATCCAACTTTGTTGGTCAAAGATGAAGTAACCAAGTATCAAGTATCAAGTATCAAGTATATTTCAAAGAAACCATTGAATTTAATTTAACATACAGTGTGACGGGCATGGTCACACTGTATCTAATGGAAACACTTATGGTCTGAAATTTTTTTTAAATTGAGAAATGCTTAGACCCTGTGAAATATGTATGAAATCTATAGGTCGGCCCTAAAGGGTTGTTAAAGTAAACAAAATTTAGGGGGAAAATATAGCCTATTTATGACAAAAGTACCTATTACAAAAAATTATATATCTACAACGTGACATCCTGTAATTTTTAGATGTCTACTTACAGTTTTTTTCACGCTGAATCCAAAAATGCAATCAGTTTTTGTCGGAGAGATTCCTAAGTGGCCGTAAAACGAAGGTTAAAATTACGAATCTAAGGTTATTAGAGCGGTACTGATGGGGAGTGTGGGGCACATTTGAACATGGGGCACATTTGAACGGTTTAAATTTGCCGTCATTTTTATACTCGCAGGCCATTAACCAGCTGTAAAATGTAGCCCTCAAATAGGACAATAGGTTGCATTCATCTTCCTCCATTTTCTGACCAGTTCTTAGTTTGTTGTTGGGAAAAGAAGTTTTAGAGCGCCACAAGAAAACTTTTTTAGCAGCAGAAAAACTACATTACAGATAAGTTTGATCCATTTACCTTATGGCTTATACATATTTTGATACAATTATGCACTTCACATTGATAAATTACAATTCAAGAAAACATAATTTAACTTTTTGTAAGATGGTGCCAAGTGTGGGGTGGATTTGGACAGGATTGTACATTTGAACACCATGTTTTCCTCTGGTAAGCATGTTGTTCAAATGTACCCCAACTGATTATATTAAATATTAACTGTACAACCACTTACTTAAGTTAGGAATCTCTCCGACAAAAACTGATTGCATTTTTGGATTCAGCATGAAAAATACTGTAAGTAGACAACTAAAAATTACATGATATCATGTTGTAGACATAAGTATCAACTACGGTAATTACCCAAAAAAATGTTTAAGGAAAAATGTAGGCTAAGTTAAGTTATCTGATGGATACCAATGTACCGGTAGTGACAAGTCACATTAAAAAATAGGTGCAACAGACGAAGGGATAATAAGTTCGATGATCTAGGATAGGCCTTACAAATTTAACTTTTAAAGAGGTAAGTTAGCCTATTCCACAGAAAATATTGAAATGTTAACCTATATTAAGCCGTGTCTTAAACAGAACAGTAATTTTTTGTAACTTATCACTTACCTAAGTACTCGCATATCTAGATTCAGTGTACAATTTAAAGGTGTTAAAATTGATTGAGTGCCTTCCAATTTCACTAGAAAAATATATAATCTCAATTTAGGCCTAATGCTTATAGACAAATAAACTGAACAAATCTACTGTACTAGGTATTTTTTCTGTTAATTCACACCCTAATAATTCTCTTGGAACATGTTAGGCTAAACTAAAACTAAAGTAAGTAATAAAGTGCGTACAACAGTGTTATATTAGGTTTCCTTGAAGTGTGAAGGTAGTTCTGACTTCTGTTTTGTCTCATGCATGTATTTCGTCTTGTCGTCTGTCATTCCAATCTCCTGTAAAGAGTGTGTGTGAGGAGGTGGAGGTGAGTGTTTATTTCTTTTTCTTAGCTTTGGCTGGCTCTACACTCACAGCTCCATGGAACCATTGATTATAAATCTCCGCAAGAGGTTTGTATTCTGAATAATGAAGTTAAGATACTAAACTTTAAATCACATAGATTTAAGAGGTGAAACTAATAACACTGACTATGCTAATAGCCTCCGCTTCAGCAAAGAGTGGGAAACATCTGAATAAGTTAGCACCTCAGTTCAGTATCACAGTTTCATGGATATACTCTTGATCGTAGCAGTTGCCTAGCCCAGAAAAGATTATGGGAAACTAGACCAGCAAAACTCTAGCAAAACAAATTACAAAAATAAAAATGAAAAATGAGCAGATGATGTTTGATGTTGAATGTTGATGTTTGCTCGCTGGTCTGCTCTACTGTTGCTGTTTCTGTTTGTTTATGTCATGTTTAATTAAATGTCAACATGAAGATCGATCACACATAAACCTAGTTTTTTTTTATTCTGCAACCCACCACAATCATTTATTAAGGTCAGTGTCAAGTCAAGAATTTTAAGGTCAAGCCTATCAAGTTATGTTTGTGAACACTCAATATAGATCCAGTCGTTATTCATCTTACAAAAGGACAACTAGGCCTAGGCTACTTGTATTCTCCTAGATACCATATCAGATTTATTTCAGGTATGTCTGTAGAGGCTTTTACTTTTTAACTTAGGTAACTTACCCCAAAAAAGCAAAGTTATCAACCTTTACTTAATCATAAAACTATTATTGCTGGGTTATTACAAACTCTTCATAGCCTAGCTAAAGGCCTATTTTGCTTGGAGCGCCTGTAGTGATAGTCGCACAGCGATTAGTTAGTTGAAGGGTACAGTTTCTTAACTGGGCTACCGTATGCTAATATCGATTGAAACTATCGAATTGAAAATATTGATTAATAATCAATAGCCTATTTTTAAACATATCTATTATAAAATTTATCATAACCTAACCTAACAAACCAAACTTGCTGATGGTGAAAAAATCGCATGAAAGTTTACTAATCGAATCGATAGTTTCAATCGATATTAGCATAGCCCAGTTAAGAAACTGTACCCTAGTTGAATACCAGCACTCACAATGGTGAAGTCATGAGTGCGTGTTGAAACTTTTTAAATTATCTCCTCAGTGAGGAGTTAGAAGATGAGGCTCTACTTGACCCTAGTGGAAGTATCAATAGACGATCGATAGAAAATACATAGGATTTGGGATGGATACGTATCACTAGACGTCACTAGGTAGGACTAAACTGTATTTTCTTAGGCCTAAGTTATAGTGATATCAATGAAAAAAAATATATATTTATATCAATTAAAAAAATTAGCCTAGTGTTTTCAATAAGAGTAGCCTACCTACATGAATGTCAGAAAATAAAACCTGGAGTCTAAATAAAAAATAGACTAAAAAAATAGACAGAAATAAAAAACAGATAAGTTCACAGTATTAACACTCGTAACACTATGGCACGTAAATAACACATAAACTTAGTCAACTTGGAACAGTCAAGCATTTTATATTTAAACTACGGTAGCTGTGTACCGTACCCGTTCAACGGACGGGATCATGTAAGTTAGTCAGTTGAAACCTCCTTATAATCAGAACAGCAGTTGGAACTTATTTAGTATGATTTTTCCAGATAAGTTATGCTGGCAAAACTCCGTATACAGCACTGTTTCAGGGTCTGTTTCCCAGTTATCAAAACTCAAGTACAATTTGATACACACTGATGCCTAGAAATTTAATTTAATTTACATTAAGTTACACATTACTTATTGCACTGTTGCGTTGGGATTAATAAAATCCGTTAGTAAGGCACAACATTTTTAATCTCACTTGGTTTTGAATTTTCTTACAAAACCTGATTGGAAATGGTTTTAGTATTTGTAATCAACATTTTAATTTAAACATAATATCCAGTACTGTAACAGCTAGAAAAAATAATCTGTATCCAAACAGCTGTTCGTTCATAGATGTTGTATTTTCCAAAGAGATGAGTATTTCATAAATGATGTAGGCTATGTGGTAAACATTAAGAGAAAACTTGACTGAAATCGTACAAAATTGTTTTTTTAATCATCCGTTATTTTATTTTAAAAGTATATGGTGAGGTCATATTTTAATGGCTAAAGACACTTTCGCCAATCCAGTGAATACAAAAAGACTATTTGAATCCCGATCGATTCTCTCCTTTTTAAGGATACGGTAATGTAAGACTTGTTTAGGCTTCTTTAATGTATAAAATGTAAAAATAATAAAAAATATATAATTCTGATTAATTTCTGAGGATTTTTGTTATGTACAGACAAAACTCAAATTTTATTTATAGCCTATATATAGATTCAAATAGATGAGGATTACCTTAAAAAAAAATGGAAAGAGTCGCCTGTTTTTTTTACAATTTAGGCTAATGTAGAAAATGAAATGAATGTGTAAGGACATATAACCAAAACAGTACGTAACAGCACATGAATAGAATAATTAATGTGAACAAAAAAGTAAATTATGGTTATTTTAACCCCTAAGTTATTAATAATGTGCCTACTGAGTGAACTGGACTGTTTTGAGGTTCCAAGATATAGCCTACAAATTGTAGGGAATTTGTTGCTTAAATGATACCACTCCTGTTTTTGTCTGAGAATTCTTTTATTTTCCATCAGCCAATAAAAACAGCTGTTATACCAATTGCACAATTTTTGTCTCCCGCCAGAATGCAAATTGAAATCACATTTTTTAGAATACTGTTTTTGGCTAAATAATAATCACTGAATAATGTTTTAACTTATACCTACATCAAAATTAATGCTAAGAACCTCCTCTTTCCAATGGTAAACTTAGGCCTACAAGTTTTATTGCAATTGCAATTTAAGAGAGTTTACTGGTCGCAAAATTAATTTGAAACATAGCATATCGTTCATGTCCCTTTGGGACATTGTCAGTTCACACTTCAAATTCTAAAGTTCCAAACGGGACGAATGCCAGATCTAGGGTTAAGTTAGAAAGAATAGGCTATAACTAAAGTAAGTGTCTGAAAAACAAAATCAAAGATTTCAAGTTTAAAGGTACATTGAATGATTCGGGTGGTATTATGGTGGTTTTGACGAGTCCGTATGTGGAGAGCAAACAGGTGTTTAAATACTTCATGTAAAACAAACCCTCTAAACGTGACTCCATGCACAATGGATTCAATTCATTTCGATGAAATAGTTCCAAACGAATAAGTAGTTTAGAACGAATCGTTTTCAGATAATCAGTTTTTATTTAGGCATTTAGAAAGTTAGGTTGGGTTTTATGCAAATTTGTGACTGTAACTCAAGTGTTTTGAAATTAGGTTAGATTTAGGAAGGTAAAATTTAGATAATAATGAACCGAAACAATATAGGCCTACGTTAACTCCAGACTTTTTAAGTTACACAGTTCATATAGTGGGTGACACAATTTTAGACAAAACTTAATAAGTTAAATACTTACAAAAATGGTAGCTCATTTTCAAAGGAATATTGAACGCCCAACGATCAGAGACAGCTGGGTCCAGTTTCAAATCATCAAAAAGCTACTGACTTCTCAGGGCTTATAACCAACAACCTTTTGATTGTCAGGCGAGCACTTTATAACCACTCAGCTACCCAGTCTAGTATGATATGTAAAGTGAAGTTGTTACTTGTGTTTCAAAATCTGTTAAATTGGTGTAAGAATTAATATGGAAGATTGTTTGTTCCTGACCCATCCTATTACTCTCAAAGATGATTAGGATGGAAAACTACATATCATTAGGTCATGAGCTTTAAATAAGGGGGAAACATGGCATCAAGACTCAATGGCTGGATATTGACTGTTAGTAACTAATCGTCGATTAGTAGACTAATCGTGACGATTAGTAATATCTGTAAGCTCGCCAGTTTGATTATTGGTCATTGGGCTCTTAATAAACTATCCCTTCTGAAAATGACACAGCTGGTCTTAGTCAGTACCTAACAAAACTACACAAGGCATCTCAATCCATTCTACATTCATCCTTCACTCACATTTGGGTTCAAATACGCACCTAGGTGGCGTTCCCATCTCAATCAATGATACTGAGACTGTAATAATGTCAGTTTAATGCATGGTGAATTAATATAGTTTCCTATGCCTCTACTTTGAATAATTAACCTAATTTGAAAAGATTCAGTAATATATAGAGAATTTAGATCATAAATAAGTTTATAAAAGGTATAATGTTACCTGGATCTGCAAGAGTAATCCAAAGGCTGTCTGTCGTCTACGCGTTTCGAAGCAATAATAGCTTCATCATCAGGTCAAGAACACGTTTCACTCATCAGAGGTCGACAAATAAATATAATTTTTACAAACATACATATACGGAAAAATAGTAGGCCTACAAACCGTGTGTACGCACTTAGACAGGTTTGTCATGACTGCAGCGGTGAAGGTTGGTGTCGTGAACTTTGTCCCTTGCCGGTCAGCTGTTCCTGGTTAGCTATTACAGTATCATACAATGCATTTGACAGGAAATTTAGTTTGTCGTTTAATAGATAATAACTATGGCTTTTTGTAGCTTTGAATATCTCGTATTCTTCTATGGCGTTCATGAAGCTTCCTTTTGTGCAAAATGTAGGGGTGTCATGTTCGTTTTGAAATTTGTATAGTTATGATTTTCATTAATGAGATAGGCTGCATACTTGGATTTTAAATGATTTTTTTGCTTTTGGAAGGTGTTCTTTGAATCTGGTTTTGAAAGCACGGCCGGTTTGTCCTATATAAAAACTATCACAAGATAATCTGAAAACTCCAGTTTTTTCCCCTGTTTCTAGATTATTACTGGACGATGGATTTAGTAATCGTTGTAGTTTGTTGGAAGTTCTAAACGCTACCCCAGTGTTTTTCTTTTTTAATTCGTTTTGCGGTATATTCGGTAGCCTTGTACCATACTCTGATGTTACAAAAAATGTTTTGTCAATTGGGCTATCTAATCTGTTATTATTGGCTTTTTTCTGTAATTGTTTTTTGATAAGTTTATCAATCATGGCGGTTTTAAACCCATTTCTTTGGGCAATGTATTTTATCGTGTTTAATTCTTTGTTAAAATTATCTTGGCTTAATGGGACGGTGAGCAACCGGTGAACAAAACTGTTATATGCTGCCATTTTTTGTTTTGTAGATAAATAAGTAAGTATAAATAAGTTTACTTTTGTTGACTTAATGGAGTTTCTCTTTTTTTGTAAGTTATTAAATATTTACAGAATGGCTGCCCAAGAACAAGATTTATGTCCAAATAAAGAAGCACTTGAAAAATATCCCAAGAACACAAAACCTCTGGAAAACCAAGTAGCAGGCCATAGTTTTAGCGATGGCTGCCATACTATAGGTAGGCCTTCTGTTATAGTTCTTTACGTTTCATAACATGTTGTTAATGGACAAAATATTAAAAATCCATCAGGTTTGGTTATCCGTCTATAAGCACAGATGACTTTTGTAAAGGTTATTTAAAAAAAATTTGCATACATTTTCAAATAGGTACTAACGCTCTCAAAAATATTATGCATTTATATTGAAATGTATGCATATAGATCGGTTCAAGCATAATGTCCGTAATGTACCAGTATTAGTTTATTATTTGGCACTGGGAGATTTTTTTAGTGTTAAATTGTTAATTATTGTCACATCTGTTTAATGCAGCCTATTTTTGGGTATATTTAAGAGATGTTTGGATCGAGTCTCGTCCACATGTGTGTACCGCTCCCCGCACATTAATAAGATATAAATTTGCCTTTAGGCCCATTTAATTTAAACAAAGATAAATATACAAACAAACCACAGAAAATATTTTGAGGCCCTTATAAATGAGCATACAATATTTATATTCCCCCACACAGTCAATAACATGTGCAGCACGTTTTATAATTAGTAAAATGTCAAAATGTCATCAATAGGCGAGGAGCAGCCCCACACTACGAGACCATATCTCATATGAGATTCAAAGAGGTTACAGTACATGCCTGCTTAACACCATCCTTGTCCGGAAAGTGAACCACTGAGTCTGTTCTAAGCAAGTACAAAGACCAATTTCTATGGGACCAAGTTGAGTTTGGAATCCAGAGTGACACCAAGATACCCAGGGTTAGGTTAGGAATATTGGCATCAACATGATCCATATGTCTTTCAAACTAAAAACCACGTGTGAGGTTTCCACTGCATTTCATTCCAATTTGTTTGTAGACAGCCAATTTAGAACAACACTTTTACAATTTTCAGATTCACCCAATACCTGTCCACAATTTTTGTTAACATTTGTGTTATGAGAATACGGGACGACAGTGGCAGGCACACTAGAGCTCAAGTCATTTATCATTACCAAAAACAGTAAAGGCCCAAGACAGAGCCCTGGGGCACTCCAGCCTCGATATTTTTTATGGTCAAAGTACCAGAGCTTCTCAATACATACTGTGACTATGATAAATACTGCTTCATACTGTACCTAAATTAATTACTGTATTATAATAATTAAACTAAAATAAAATTTGGTACTTAAAATAAATTTAATTACCAATGATAGTATGTATGCTTGCAGGTATGCTGAGGGACGAGGATGGTCACGTTTTGAAGCCGGTGAACAAACCTGAACAAGGCCGAAAGGAGATTGAATTTTATGAAACCTTCTCAAAATATGAAACAGATGATATTTTACAGCTAAAACAATTTGTGCCTCAGTATTTTGGAAGTGTCATATTGTCAATTGACGGTAGAAGTAAGCCAACTCCTTGATCTTCTTCCATTGCCATTATTGGTTAAAATGTGATTACTTAACGTATATTTGGCATGTTGTGTCTTCTTCCATTGCCATTATTGGTTAAAATGTGATTACTTAACGTATATTTGGCATGTTGTGTCTTAACTTTTGTTTCACTAACTTCTGTGTAGATATAAAGTCAATGGTATAGGTTTACCAAAGAATATTTCTGGCCATTAGCTCGGTTGGCCTTACACATTTTTACTGCTACTTATGTATTTTAATTATTGAAAAAGACATTGTTATATTACATTTCCTTCACAAAATTTAGTCAGTTTTAGTGGAAGTAATTTCATCCCCTGATGTTACAACATGGTGGCATGTCTCTACCTTTAAAACAACAGCTCGACAGCTGAGGTAATCTCCTGCACAACCTGAATGTCAGTGTAAGCAAATGAGCACATTTTCCCCAAGTAAACAACTGACTTACCTAAATTCAGTTAAGCTCATGTGTGATTCTCAATCAAATGAAATTGTACCTTTTGACCAATTGCCCCTCAAACCCGGAAAATTCTACAAAAAGGTTACAAGTAAAATTATTATGGAATATTAACTGACTTTTCACAAATAGGTGCACAGTTTTTAAAACTCTTGGATGCCACGAGAGGTTACAAGAAACCTTGTGTGATGGATGTCAAGATCGGCAGACAAACCTGGGAGCCTGGAGCTCCCGTGGAAAAACAACTCAGGGAGGAGGTTGGTGAGAATAAACTGTGACAAAATTTAGGATACTATTGCAACAATTTCATCACAGGAAAAAATTCCATAACAGCATAAGCCATGCTATTAAAGATACATTTTTTTTTTAAATTACGTATGATAAGTTTGGATTATTGCAACTAAATAAAGTTCCCCAAAATATTGTTTGTACATGTTTATCAACAAGTTAAGAAATAAGCTAAACGGTGACATATGCACATACATAATATACTTCTTACCGTCAACGTCAACTGTTATTGTTGCCAAAGTGTTTTGCAATCAAATAAAAAAATTATGAAACTTGACAGTAGACTGTTTATCTAGTGTATTTGCCTATAATCCGTCCCACTGAAATCGATAATCATACCTAATCCCTACCAAAAAAATTATTTTGTTTTATGAATTAGAACTTAATTGAAGCAAATCCGTCACTACGTAGATGCATTAAAGAAATTAAGTAAAAGAAGTATTTCTAATCAATACCTTATTTTATAAAAATGCATACAAATTATCATTACGTATAGGCTTTTGACTATTGGTATAGGCCTATGCAAATTGGAATTTACAGTTTTATATTATTTTATATTTTATTTAAATAAATTTAATCAATAACTCAACAAATTGATAATATTCCAAATTTAATATAATGTTTAATCTCTTTTAGTCAAAGTACAAGCTATGTAAACAACAGTGTGGATTTTGTATTCCTGGTTTTCAAGTTTATAACATCACAACAGGTACTTTTGAGAAGTACGGAAAGGATTATGGGAGACGGCTTCAAAGAGATGACATTGTATATGGTAAGTAAAATTTAAAAATGTATGATATTGTTTACAATAACTTTGTCAACCCATTTATAGTACTGAAACAGTCCCTGCTATGGTAATCTTGTACAAAAAAAAAGATAGGCTTACTTAAAAATATATACATATATATTTAATTTAAAGTGAATTCAAATGGCTAGTGAGGATCTTAGCATCTTAGTGAGGAATAGAGCTTAGCAAGCTTAAACAGAGTCCAGAGGCTAATTAATAGCATAAACAAAAAGAATTAAATATAGACCGTCAGCTGTGCTGCGTTTACCATTGGTTCTGGCGCACATCGCTGGGAGCGCCTTGTAGTTACAGCAATCACGCTAAATAACTACACAGCGCTCTCAGCAGTGTGCGCCAGAACCTATGGTAACCACAGCACGGCTGACGGTCTATATTTAATTATTTTTGTCTATGCTAATAGATACACAAAGAAAGTACATAAAGCATAGCACTGATATTTTGTCTTAACGTACTAGTTTATGAAAATTTTCTAATTTCTCACATTGTTACTGTCAGTGTCCATCAAAGTATCAACCAGTGTCAGCCATTTCATTCATATTTGTACAAGAAAGTGATGTTGGATACCAAATAGCAGAATGCAAAAGTGTAAATCATTGTATTATATCAAATATTGTTTGCGTGTAAGATCCGTTTTAAATGCTTTCAATAACATTTTAACCTCGAAACTGTATATGCTATGATGCCCCAATGTAGTTTAGCAATTCAAATCTCACTATTGTTGCAGTTTTCAAGAAGTTTCTCAACAGTGGGACAGAACGTGGAAGAGTCGTTGCGGAGGAGATGTTGCGTCAAGTGACCACAATCCTAGACTGGTGGAGAGTGCAACGGACGTTTCACATGTACTCCAGCTCTGTGTTGTTGACATACGACGCTGAACCAAACCTCACTCCTAGTGTGAGAGTAGTGCTGATAGACTTTGCCCATGTCTTGCCTGCCAACGGTTCTCCAGACCTTAACTATCTGACAGGTCTTGAATCATTTGTACAAATTTTTACATCTGTATTAAACGAGTTATGACAAAACTGTGATGTTTATTAACGAACAAAATTTGCACTGGAACAATCGAAAAAGGAGGAGGGAATAGGATACTGATTGACACAGAATAAGAAATTTGTGATGACGATAGGACCCGAAAACAGTCATTAGATCCATGTTAAATTAATAGTATTTAAGGAAGTGGCCAGATGAAAGTATATTTTTTATTTCCATAACCCCACTCTTATTTAATTTTTTGTAGTTTTGAGTACCAGGGCGAAGCCAGGATGGAACCCATTGCAGACACTGCAAGGAGCCTGAAACCCTTCCGCATGTCCTTGGCTCTTGTCCCTTTGGTGCCTTACTGCGTAATGCAAGACACCATTCTGTAAGAGCAATGATCGCAGAAGAACTACGAAAAAAGGCTGGCAAGTAGTAGAAGAAGTACATTGCATTGAAGATGGTGGATCGAACAGATGATTGGACATTTTAATATATGATACAAAATCTAAAAGTGGAATCCAACTATAAGGTTTGAAACATCAACAAATCAAATACAGGGTTAGGCAAAAGTCTGGAACCCCCCAGTTAACTTTTTAACGCGTTGCAGTAGGAAAACCAAACTCGGCACATATTTACAACATAAGAAATCACACTTTTTCATGAAAGTTACAACTTTGCCCCAGCCCCCAAAATGGGGTATTTTGGGGGCAGCCCTAAATTTTCAAATGTAAACACCTATTATGTTACCCCACATTTTAAAGGGTTTATCAAGAGAAATTGAATGGCACAAACCAGAGGTCAATATCGCACCCCTAATCAAAATGGCAGCCATTTTAATTTTAAAATGAGCAAGCACGATAAAGTCTGGACACCCCCCAGTTAACATTATAACAAGTGGCAGTGGGAAAACCAAACCCGGCACATGTTTGCAACATAAAAAATGCACTTTTTTTATTAAATTTAGAACTTGGACACGGCCCCCAAAATGGGGTATTTTGGGGGCAGTCATTTTGAAATATCCCTTATTAACTTTTCAACTCAAAATGACTGCCATTTTGATTACGGGTGCGATATTGACCTCTAGTTTGTGCTATTTAATTTGTATTGAGAAACCCTTTAAAATGAGGGGTCACATGATAGGTGTTTACATTTGAAAATTTGGGGCTGCCCCCAAAATACCTCGTTTTGGGGGCCAGGTACAAGTTCTAACTTTAATGAAAAAGTGCATATTTTTATGTTGTAAACATGTGCCGAGTTTATTTTTCCCACTGCCACACGTGATAAAGTTAACTGGGGGTGTCCAGACTTTATCCTGCTTGCTCATCTTAACATTAAAATGGCTGCCATTTTGATTAGGGGAGCGTTATTGACCTCTGATTTGCGCCATTTAATTTCTCTTGATAAACCCTTTAAAATGTGGGGTAACATAATAGGTGTTTACATTTGAAAATTTAGGGCTGCCCCCAAAATACCCCATTTTGGGGGCTGGGGCAAAGATGTAACTTTCATGAAAAGTGCAATTTCTTATGTTATAAATATGTGCCGAGTTTGGTTTTCCTACTGCAACGCATTAAAAAGTGAACTGGGGGGTTCCAGACTTTTGCCTAACCCTGTATAATCCAAATTCTATATCAGTAATTGGCATAATTATTGGTGCAAGAGGGACTATTACAAAATTGTTTGAAGAATTAAAAAAATAATAATCTTCCATCAAAATTAAAAAGTGAAATAGTCATAAAAGTGTTAAAAGGATCATGTAAAATCATTCAAAACCATTTATATGGACAACGTTATTAATTTAAGTTACATATTATTTATATCATAAATGTAAGTTTTTTGTTACTGTGTCTAATAGGCAAAGTTTATCATAATAAACTCAGTTTTAAAAATAAATAATATCCAGAATCCAAATTTTTGGACATCACTAGTGTTAAAATAACATCCAAAAGTAGAGTGAGGAAATATTAATAGGAAGGATGCTGGGGGCCTCTTTTTATTGTGTGGCAGCAACAAATCAACCAAAATTTCAGAATTAATTTGAGACATTTTTTAAAAACTTATCACTGGTGAGCCTCAATTTTTACTATAATTGTCATTTTACGCCAATAAATCAAAATTTTGATATATTATTAATATACCGCAAGCCGGTACTAATATATATAGAAAGTCAGAACAACGACTTCCCAAGTTGGGCAAATACTCCAAAGATAAAAATACACAACTTAAAACAATATAGACATTTTATTGTGTACACCCTACATTACATGCTAAATATGTAAGAGTCAAACAAATAGTTACCTAACAAATAATGAGTAGTCTAAAAATAGCTTCAAAAATATTTATTAGAATTTTAAGAATTCATTGTAAGTTGGTTGAAGTGGTAAAAAGTTATATTTTGGGTAGTTTAGGTGCAACAACCAACGGGTTGGCTTGTTCTAACACCTTTCTGCTTTCTTTCTTGAAGTCATAAGTGCAGTGGTGTGTTTCTGAATACCTGGAATGCAATAAAAATTGAGTTAAATAATGTAGATTTTAAAAAAACTAAATAAATTCTTAAACATCATAATATGTTATCCTTGGTATAATAAATAAAGTTAAACGATCACATGTATATCAGAAGCGCCTACTTTTCAATCCCACTGGAATTCAGCAACAAAATCTTAAACATCTTTAGCAGTCGTGTAGACATCACTGCCATCTCCCACAGTCACAAAAAATCATCATTGTCTCTTATGGTCACAAAAACGTCACCATCATCCTCCACAATTGCGACATTTTTCAAAAGCAAAATCTTTACAAAAGCTTAAAAAATTCCCTAAATTCTGGTAAAAATCCAACTATCCGAATCAAATTTTTTAATATGCGAATGTAGTGCGGTCTAAATTAATTCGGATAGTTACAGTTGTACAGTAGCAAAGTCAAATACTGTATGGTCATCCTTTTACAAAACAAACATTTTGTTATCATGATAAAAAATTAAACATAGGAACTTACCTATGAAAAGAGCAGAATGTGAAGCCACATCTACACTCAAACATGTTGGCAAGGGTAAGCCTCTTCTTGCATTCAGCGCATCTGATCCGGCTTTTCTTATCAAAATCCACTTTTCCTCTCAAGGATTGGTCAATGGAAATCCTCGTAGCAGTCCCAACTGGCAACTCACTTGCTAATGGTTCCGTTACAGCCTTCACAGGAGGGGGTGAAACATTCGGTATCTTTGGCAGGAGTTCAAAACTTCTCGAAGATAAAAATTCTGAATCGAGAGTAAAACTATCCTGAACAAAAGAACTTGATGGAGATTCTTCTGCACCATTGATATTTCTTCTTAAAATAGATGACCCTTCACTTTTCCTAAAGCAATATTGTGTTTTCTTTGTCAACTTTGTACTGGTCAGGTTTTTGTGGTGGACATTCAAGTTTTCTATGTAAGGAACTGTTGTTGTTTGTGACCTTCTTGGTTCGATGTTGGATACTTTCCTGTTATTGTTTAAAATTTCAGAAACACCAGTCATAGGTGGAAGGATGTTCAATCCTGATATCTCTGAATAGTTGACGCCCCACTCGTGGCGGAGTTTAGATGCACAGGCACTGATACACCTGAAATCAACAGTTGGTTTAAAACATCTTTCATTTAAAGAGGAAAGTATTTTTTCCCTTTGCTAATACATAGCTCCCTCTAGTTCGGCTTCGGTTGGATCGGCCGCCGGATGGTCCGGCCCGGTCTCAGGGGGACAAGTCATATCGTCACGGGGGAAAGACCTTCGACAGGATTCAACTTGAATGTTTAGTTCCCGGTCATAGAAGTAAACAATTCATGTCAGTTTAGTTGACGGGTGCTTCTATGGGTGATTGTTGCATATTACCTATGTAAAACTATGTTACATAACCTCAAAAATACCAAGAACATTTTATAGTCTAATATGTTTAAATGCAGTGTATAATTAAATATTTCGGACCATTTATTTATGTGGCAAGTTCCCCCATTATTGTTTTTGAAACACCGCGGTTTATTTGACAAAAATAAATTAAAGCAAAACAAAGAAATAGCCATCATTAGCTTCAAGGTCAAGCTATCTGCTTGCTCTGACAATTATCTGTTCTATACACAACTGTCTGCTGTGCGCTTGCTATCTCACAACAGTTTGTGATTGGGTGATTAGTAACCATGGCAATGGCAACACTTGCTGAATGTGTGGATGAAGAGAAACCAAAAGAATGAATAGAAGAACAAAGAAGAAAGAATAAGTGGTGTTTTACACCATCCATTGTTATCTTTTTCCTATTTTACGACTGTTGTTATTATCTTTAAGACTAAGTACTATGATTTTATGCTGTTTTATGAGTTATCTAATGCTTTTATTGACATTCTTATGTTCTGAAAACAACATGTAGTAGTAGCCTATGCTGACTATGGTAGCAGTAGCTTGCAGTACTAGACTTTCTATTGTTCTGTTCTTTACGTGATTTATTGCTGTATGTACAGTGTTGTGTAGTTTTTGTTTTTCTTAAGTAAGCATGATATTAAACTTTACAGTTTTTATTACTGAACCAAGGTTAATGACTTAACATATCACGATTGCGCAATACTATTATTTGTATTTTGATTATGTAAAATGCAAATTAATTATCAGTGGTTTATTTACCTTGTATTTTCGTCACAGCTCAAAAATGTTGTATAAAAGCTACAACCATGGTTTCGACGCCGTTTGCGTCATGGTCACGTAGGACATGTCGAGAATCAAAGCATAGTTGTTGTTGTCATAGTCGGTCGCTTGGACGTCGTCAAAAACACATTAACACAAACACGAACACATACGGACATATTAACACTTAAAAATGTTCTCGGGGACGGAATACAGGCCTGTGTTTATTTAACTGTACCGTCGCGGGAGCCGGCTGGAGAACACTGAGCGCGACGGCGACGATGATAAGACGACCCTTGTACCTTAGGACATGGACTCATCCTTCTGTTGGGGGTGTGTGTTGAACTCGTCTGACGAACTAGAGAAGTCTTGATGATTTTATTAAAAATTAAGTGG